TTATTTTGTTCTTGTATTGTCTTTTGAAATTGTTCTAGGTTTTCTCTGTGTTTTCCCCAATTTTGTCAGTTTTTTCCTTGATCTGTGTCTCAATTCATTGAAGGTACTTAAATATAATTCTTTTGAATTCCTTCTCAGGGAGTTCCAATGCTGTGTCTTCCTCAAGATGTGTTCTGGGTTTGTATCCTGGTCCCTTGTTTCTTCTGCTTTTCTTGCTTCTTTGTGTGGACTTTGATGGTCTATTGTGTCTGAGACATTATGGTGTTTTTGTTTTTATATTTAATTGGTGATTGTATGTTTGAGTGATTCACTCATGATTTCTTTGGATGTACATGAGTACTGTGCTCCTCTCTTTGCTAGTTGGCAGCACTTATACACTCACCACCTGTCTCCTTTCCAGTCATCAGCCTCTCATATGTCCATGATTTCTTTGAGAAGCAGAGCCTATTCTTAGGTCCTTTGAATCTGAATAAGAATGCTGTTACTTCAAATATCCAGAATGGCCACTGCTTGTTAACATTCACAGTAGCTGTGCCTGGCTGCTGCTTGTAAACATTCAAAATAGTTGCACCTTCTGGACAGCTGAAAGTCCACAGCTCAGTTTGTCATCTTTGCTTTTTCCCTTTTTAGTCATCAGCCACTGGCACAGTTGTCCATGCAACCCTTGGCAAGCATGGCTGATTTTTAGGTTAATTCTCAAGTCCTACCAACACTTGGAAATATTTAGCCTCTCTGTGCCATCAGGATAGCTTACAGTCAACAGCTCTGTTTGTCTCCATATTCACTGTTTTCATTCAGATTCTTCTACTAAACCAAAACCAAACTCACTGCCCTCCAGTCAGATCCAACTCATAATGACCACTCCTTGGGTTTCCAAGGTGGTATCACTATGGAAGTAGATTGCCTGACCTTCCTTCCTAGAAGTGCCTGGTAGATTTGAACTGCCAGCCTTCTGATTAGCAGTCAAATGCCTTAGGCACTGTACCACCAGAGCTCTTGGTTCTTGTATTAGTTGGTTCTTCTACTAGTTGGTGTTTAATCTGCTTCTCTGTCCTTCCTTTCAAAGCTCAAGGCTCCAGGATTACCTTCTGTCTCTGTGTCAGTTGGTGTCTCTTTTCTTTGTTGAAGAGGGTCTGTGTAGCTTGTCTGCCTATTCCACCATCTTACTAGAAGTTTAAACTATGATTTTAATTTTTGAAAATTCAACTTTTGTACATATAGTATTGTCTCAAATGTACTTTAAAATGTCTGCATAACAATTGGAAATAATATGTCAAATTAAAGATTTTGTGGCATTTTAAGTGATCAAGGATTTATTCTTTGTACATTTTTCAATCTTTTTGTGATATTCTACAGTAAGTACATAATCAGAGGACAGAATAAGAGAGGGTCCCTAGATATGTAGAAGCAAAATGTTTTGCTGAAAGTCCTTTGAGCAAATGCTGCTTATTCTCTAATTTGGTATGAACATGAGAATGTATCAAAATGTAATGCTTTGCTCAGTGGGTATGGGCTAATCTTCTCTCCCAGTGATAGGCATGGCTTTCCTTTTTGCCTTCCTACGTTTTAGATTGAGGTGTGTTGTAAAGCAAGCATCTTTTCCTCACCACCTCCCCAGGGTTGTCATGAATGTGCCCTTACCAAGTGGTAGCCTCTGAGCAGCCTCCCTGGGGATATATAGTTCCATGTGGAGGAAGGGATTGATTGATTTTTCACTCCATTGTTGGGTGGATGGCATCTGAACCACCCCATTTTTTCCCATGCATACTAAATTTAAGTCACTAGGTATTTTCTCATGTTCTCAGAAGGTTATATTTATCGGCCAGTCATAAGCCAGCTTTGTTTTCCCTGAAGAATAGTTCTAGTGGTCATTCTTTCAAAGAACACAGGGGCTTAATGGTCTGGAAGCTAGCTGTGAACACTGGGTAGAATCCCACAGCAGGGGCTTGGAGAAAGTCTTGGAGTAAGCAGAGTGTGGTCCATGGAGGGCAGGTGATTGGTGGTGATAGTATAGACAGGGAAGCTGGTGGTGTACACAGACCAGAGACTCAGATGTGCAGGGCATGGGCTTTCATTGTGGATCTCTGTGGGTGCCTAAGGGGCTTGGGAACAGAACTCTAAACCCTGGGAGGATTGCTGAGGGCAGCCAGAGACACATTTAGGGGAAATGGGGAATCAGTGGGTTTCTGGAATAGTTAATTCTGTACTATGGGGTCCAAGGTCAGAGCAGCCTAACAGCAAGAGTGAATTGGAGCTGAGTCATGCATGCTACTGAACTAGAATTCTTTAAATTCCTCCTGACTAGAGGTAGGATTGGGAGGTAGGATTGTTTTCATACGTGGAACCAGAGCTGGCCTTCACCTGAGGATCATGTGGTTTCCTTCTGTGGGCACTTGGAAACACTGAGGTTAGAGGACTAAGCCTATCGTTCTCCTTCCATGCCAAGACCTCTGGCCCACACTTAACAGAGAGGTGCACAGGCTCAGCCATTGGTTTCTGCAGCTAGCATTTTTTGAACCCATGTTCCTGGGTTCTGCTCCAGGATATGAAGATCAGTGGCAACAAGACACACAGAGGCCCTGCCCTCCTGAAGCTTACAGTCTAATGCAGAAAGTATTAAAGTAGAAAGTATTGTTAATTAACAAGTCAATACATCCAGCCACCCCCAAAATCAAACCACTACAAGGTAATTTTTAATTTTGAATGGTGCTAGGAGCTCTGGTAGCATAGTGCCTAAGGTATTTGACTTCTAACTAGAAGGCTGGCGGTTCAGACCCACCAGCCACTCATCGGAAGGAAGATGGGGCAATCTACTTCCATAGTGATACTGCCTCAGAAACCCAAGGAAGGGTTGCTATGAGTCGAATTGACTTGATGGCAATGAGTTTTGTTTTGTTTTTTTTAATGAGCAATAAATAGTGATGAGAGAGAGTAATAATGGGAAACATTTTTCCAGGGAAGATGGTCAGGGAAGCTTTATCTGGGAGGTGACATTTGAGTTGAGGCCTAAAGGAGGCAGACGTTGGGGAGGATTGTTTCAGGCAGGGTGAACAGCCAATGCAGAGGCCCAGGACTTGCAGGTCCTGATGTTTTAAAGGACAGAATGATGCCCAGTTGGCTGGGGCACTTCAGAAAGGCGAAAGAGTCACAGCAGTGAGGTTAGACAAGGGCAGGAATGGGTCAGATGGGTCATTTAAGAAGAGAAACTAAAGAGAAATTTAGCTTTTTAATTGTAATGATGCTTTAAAAAAAAGAAAAAAGAACCAAAAGCCAAAACTCTCGATTTAGGATCCACATCCCTGTACTTGGGCAACCCTGATGTAACTGTATGTTGTCTTGTTAGCTACCGTTGAGTTACCTGCTGACCCCTGCAGCCCCGTGCATGATGGAAACGGACCATTGTGACCCAGAGGGTTTTCTCTGACTGATGTTTGGAAGTAGATTGCCAGGTCTGTCTTCCTTGTCCAGCTTAGTCTGGAAGCTCTGCTGAAACCTGTTTAGCATCATAGCAACATGCAAACCTCCACTGGCTGATGGGTGGTGCTGCATATAAGGTGCGTTGGCCAGGAATTAAACCTGGATTTGCCTCATGGAAGGCGAGAATTCTGCCACTGAACCACCATTTAAAAAACACACAAACAAAACCTCACTGCTGTTGAGTCCGTTTGACTCATAGTACCCCTCTTTGAGTTTCCAAGGCAGTATCCCTACGGAAGTAGATTGCCCAATCTTCTTCCGAGGTGTGGCTGGTGGGTTTTAACCACCAGCCTTCTGGTTAGCAGTCAAGTGCCTTAGATACTATGCTACCAGAGCTCCCTGAACTATCAGTACTTCCATGTAAATATATAGTAATAGCTATTTAGCTGTTCTGTTGTTTTTCCATGTTGCATAGTACATGTATCTATTAATTTTATCAATTGCTATATATTGTGATTTGCTAGCATCTTTGTAAAACTTAGATCAGACCACTCTTCAGAACTCAAAACCTTAACCATGATACCCCTGTGGTCTTCTCCTTACCACCTCTCTGCCTCCCTCCACTCCAGCCACTCTAGCCTCTTTGTTTTTCCATGAATATACCAAGCATACCCCTACCTCCGGCCCCAGGCCCTTACACTTACTATTTCTTATTCCAGAGACTTCCATCCTATGGGCACATGGCTTGCTCCCCTCCTATTTCCTTCCGGGACATTTCCTTCTGTTCAAATCCCATGTCATCAGAAAGTCTGTCTCTTGCCAGTTTATATCACATGGTAGGGCCCTCACCTCCTGCCTGTCACTCATTATCCCATAAAAAAAAAAAAAAAAAAAAAAACCCAAACCCACTTCCATCGAGTCGATTGTGACTCATAGTAACCCCCACTGGGTTTCCAAGGCAGTAAGTTTTACAGAAGTAGATTGCCCAGTCTTGCTTCCACAGAGTGGCTGGTAGGTTTGAACCACCAACCCTCTGGTTAGCAGACAGATGGCTTAGGCACTGTGCCACCAGAGCTCCTTTACTATCCCATACCCAGCTTATTATGCTTCATGGAACCTAACACCACTTGATATATGTTTATATGTTTAAGCTGTTTCTTACTTACTCATCTCCCACCCCAAACTCTTAGAAAATGGGAACTTTGTGTGGTTCACTGTTTATTTTTTCCCCCTTTGACAGCCAGAATAGAGCCTGGAACATAGGAGATAGGCAGTAATTATTTAATATTTGTTGAATCTGAGTATCTCTTCTCCGCCACTGGATTGGGGTCCTTAGAAGGCAGGTGTTTTACACATCTTTGTATTATTCCCTTGTGTCTAGTGCGGTGCTGGCAAACGCAGCTGTTTTATGAACTGTGGCCAAATGAATGTGGAAAGAGAAATTAGTTATTCCAAATTCTTTCTCCCAAGTAGTGATTCCAGGGAGTCACTACTTATAAGGAATAAAATAGGGTTTTATAAAACTGGATTATAAAGGACTAAATGTTAACTTGGTACCTTTCTTTTGTTCTGCTCTTTTCCAGTGGTCCCAATCGTGGGCATTACATTACTATTGTGAAAAGTCACGGCTTCTGGCTTTTGTTTGACGATGACATTGTAGAGGTGGGTATGCCCATTGTTCTCCAACGGGGCAGAGCACAGGTGGTATTTAGGGCGTGTGTTATGTATGAACATAGGCCAAATGTAGGCCTGTTTTGGATAATCTAACTGGAAAACAACTTACTTTTCTATCAGAACTAAATTTTCCCTTTCCGTGGGAAAAGGGGGAAGGAGCATGGCCATGGACTCATTGCTGTTCTTGTCAAGTTACCTGACTGTCATACATGGGCCATCTCTATGCCACCTCACGTTCATTTATTTGTGAGTCCTGTTTCATCTTATGTCTAAAGCCCTCTCTGGTACAGATTAGATATGAGACTTCAGAATTCTGTTAATGTTCTTTCATCGTACTTGATTATTCTTGTGTTGATAATGGTTTAACATGTTTTCCCAGTCTCTTGGACATGGCAATCTGGATTTTACATAGAACAATTCCATATATTGATTTTGTTGTAAAGAAATGCTGTTGTTGTTGTTGTTTTTTGCCGTTGAGTCGGCCCCGACTCATAGTGACCTCTCCTTGGGTTTCCGAGGCAGTATCACTATGGAAGTAGGATTGCCCAACCTTCCCCGACTCATAGCGACCCCTCCTTGGGTTTCTGAGGCAGTATCATTATGGAAGTAGGATTGCCCAACCTTCCCCGACTCATAGCGACCCCTCCTTGGGTTTCTGAGGCAGTATCATTATGGAAGTAGGATTGCCCAACCTTCCTTCCGAGGAGTGGCTGGTGGGTTTGAACTGCCAGCCTTCTGGTGAGCAGTCAAGTGCCTTAGCCACTATGCTACCAGAGCTCCTAAAGGAATGCTAGCTGGAGGAAATTTCCTAGTCAAAGACATGATCTATTTTTGCCTGCTAGGGTCTGTTTTAGTGTAATAATACTAAAGAACTGAACTGTGGTGGCCTGAAGGAATTAAACTTATTCTCAAGCACCCCTCCCCTGCTCACTTTACCACTTGAAAGGCAGGAGTAGGGTTGCTGAGAGTGACTTTCTTACCCAGCTACCTGTAGTTTGTGTCATGATACCCCTCTATCAAGTCTACTGCATTATCCATTAACTATTAAAATTTCCTAGTTGTGATGTTTCTTAGATTTTCCTGCATAGGTCATTAGGTCTTTCCTTTTCCTAGTAATTATGTTAAACAATTTTATGGTTTGATTTCTCTTTCATTGCAGAAAATAGATGCTCAAGCTATTGAAGAATTCTATGGCCTGACATCAGATATATCAAAAAATTCAGAATCTGGATATATTTTATTCTATCAGTCAAGAGAATAACTTAAAGAACTGTGGAACTCTTTTAAGCGGGGAGAACGTTCAAAGCACTATCATCTGCTTTCTCTGTGGACTGTTGTTCTTCCCTAGCAGCCCACCAGTGGCATCACTCCAAGTCTCAGTGGTCTGGCTGTGTTAGACTCTTCCCCCCACCTCCCTTTTTTTTTACATGCAGCACTACTTTTGGTTTTATTTTAGTCTGATGTAGAGTTAACTGCAATCAGATTGTAGTAAGACTGATATGAATAACAATTGCTAATCGAAGGACTGGGTATTCTCTATGCCACTCATCATGTCTGGCTGAATTAGAAAGGCATGTGTTATGGATGTCTACAGTCTACTTGGGGTCTTTGCTAAACTTCATAAATAGCTTCCAGGTTGTCCTTACAATGCATTCCTTTTTAACTCATCTCTGGAAGCATTGCTACCCATTTTTAGCTTCTCTTGCCGCTCGTCTGACAGAAGGACAGAAGAGTTGGGTAGATGTTCACCTGTGAGGGCTGCAATATAGCTTTAAGTTTGTGCAAGTGAAAATGTCTAAGAGTGAGTAACCTCAAGACTGAAAATCATCCTCCATGCGGAACAGGGTGAAGAGAGGCTGTAGCGGCTCACCGTTAGAATCCCAGGGGCTAATAAAGTTTGGAGCTCAGGGTAGGCAAAGGCAAGAGGAGAACACTTTTGTGGACAGTGAAAAGTTACATTTCTTACCTTTCTACCAAAAGGAAATTTCAGGAAAATAACTCTATGCTGTCTGTTTTTAGTGATACCCTTAAAACAAAAACAAACCCTTTTCTTCTGTAAGTTCCTGCGAGTAGTATTTATCTTTTATCCAGCACCGCTACGCTTCTCAAGGTGTCTTTCCAATCCTGTTGATGTTCTGTAAAAGTCTGTGGTTGCAGGGCTGTGGTGCCACACTGGCTGCATCTGGCACAACTCTCTGTAGCCGGACAGTACTGGCATCATTCTCACATCAGGACCAGTGAAGGCACTGCATCTGCACAGCTGTCCAGCTGTACTGCACAGCTGTTAATGCTTTCACATTTTCAGTCTGTTCACTGAGGCACTGGCAAGCCCCAGGGCTAATGCAGGACCTCCTCAGAGGGAGTTCTGGAAGAAGTTGGGTGTGAAGGGGGGTCCAAGGAAGTGTCTGTGGGCAGGTGGAGGAATGGACAAAATGGTGGCTTTTCTTTGGCTCAGACTCCAAGAATGCATGACAAGATGGAGTGTTTTTTTTTGAAGAACCTCATCTCACTATAGTTACTTTTACTTATTTTCATTTTTGTTGTATCTGTATTTATTAGAGCATTTGAGTATTAGTACCTTTTATTAAAAGGGTTGATTCGACGTTTGGCCATTGAGCTGGTTTTTGGCTTCCTACAAATATGATGAGTTGTAGATCTTGGCTTCTCTTTGAGAAGTCACTTAACTTCCATACATTATGATATACTGTGAACGTATTATTTTGTTACCTAATAAATCAGTGAGCGAACATGCAAACGTTTGGCATAATGTGAACTAAAAATTGAAATTGACAATGTTGGTGGTCATTTTACAACAGTTAAGAAGATAGCACTTTATCTCAATGAAAACTGGATTTCTTGTCTTTGAAATATCTTGAACTGTTGGTTGCTCAGAATTTAAGTAAGCATGCCAATACTCCATTTGTTCATGCTTGAGGTGAAATATATCACTTTTCACTGGAGAAGACAAAAACAGGGTGATCTTCACATCATTGTTTTATACAAGTGACAAAAATATACCTTGCCTTGTTTAGAGGCAAATTCCTATTTATAAGTTTTTTTTTTTTTTTTTTTATTTCCTCCACTAAACATATGCAGTAATCACTGACATGGAAGGTGAGTCTTTATTTTGTCTTCCAATTGAAGGTAATTGAGGTAGGGAAATATTTGTACTATGTATAACCCATATATTTTTGGGTTACAAAGTTTAAAAAAAGATCATGGTTGATCTCTCACTAATGTATTTGTAACTGATTCATAAAGAAAAACCATTAAAAACATCTTTGAAATGATTCTTGGAGCTAATTTCTTAGCAGAAATCTTTCCATTAGAAGCCTATAGTAGGAATATTTAAATGCAAAATCATGTTCAGTACATTTTATTTTTGGTGGGAGGTGTAATTACTGGAGTAATTACTTTTAATGGAAAGGGTCATTACAATTCAATATTCATGGATAGATTTTTGGACTAAAGTATGGAAGATACTGTAAAGACATTAAAATTGTGTGATGCAGGAAAAGAAGATTGGATAAAAATCAAAATGCACTTATCTACACTACACTCCATTAGTTTTTTAATTTCTGAGCTATCTAGTAATATTTTTCCTCTTTCTGTCTCTTTAATAAATGACACAAACACTAGGCAGCTCTTTTTTCTCCATTATTTCACTCCATGTAAAGACGATAGCATGCAAACACTTTTTATTTCTAATCCCTTTTTGTAGTGTAAAGCGGGGAATGGTGTGGGATACACAAGACCGTTTTGAGGTCACCAATAGCACAAAGGCTCAGCAGTATTGGCTCTGAGGGCCAGGAGTTTTTTGTACTGTTTCCTGGCAAGAGTGTGTTGGCCTGCTTTATGTTTTTTAACTGCTGGGTGTTTTAAAATAAGTTAGTGTTTTACATCTGAAAAAGAAAACAGTTGCTTTATTGGTTACTTACTGGTTGGGCATCTAAGTTATGGTACAGTATGTTAAAAAGTCATTTGTTTAAAAATAAATTTTGGTAAGATGCTGACATCCAGCCCTGTTATGTTAATACATTTTCCATTCAGAGGCAATATGAAGTGGACTGCTTTGCAGAGAGCCATAGAACAACACAAGCAGGGTGCTAGTTTGAACAAGAGGCCAGTCATACTTGGTTTTATGGCCTGGCATATTTTGGATTTAAAATGAAATGGAAAAAATGACAGAAATGATCCCTATGCATTTATTTTCATGGATACCCTTCATTTCATGGGCATGCCTAACAATGAACTACGTTCCAGCTGGAGCTTAGGGCTTATTTTAGATATTGGAGTGTGGCTTTATTACAGATGGACTGTATCTTTAGACACTGCATTTTGATCAACTTTGTATGTTCATGTGTATTAAAATATTGTGCACTAAATGTTTTGCCCTGTCAAGGCATTTACCGGCACTGGTGTGGCTAACTCATGTAAGTGGCATGGGTCAGGGAAAATGATTTCCTGTTTTTATGCCTAATTAATTTTCTGTTTTCAGTATTACATTAATTTATTTTTGGCTTCCATTTCTGTATAACCAAAATAGTTACTGTATTTGTGTGGCATTCCTTTGATTTTGTTGCTGAAAAAAGTTTATAGTTTTTATTTAATATAATCTGTACCTTAATTTTTTTCTATGTAACCAATTCAAGCACTTTAAGCAATAATGTCAATCTTGTGGAATTTCAATCAGTTTAACACCCTGCCTCTAAAATTGTTTGCAAAAAAATAAATAAAATAGGAAATTCTCTTCCGAGAGAATTACGTCTGGGTAATGTTACACACGTGGACTTAAAATGCTTTTTATAAAGTGCAAGTCAGTGACAAGTCTCATGTTCAGCTAGTAATACCAAACTTAATTTTGAAGCCATGGAAACATGAAGAACACTCTGGTCACTGTTAAGTTATAAAGACAACACTACTGTGAAGGTTGATAAAATCATTGTTCTAGAGATAATTCACCTCTTTATTTTTTGAGTGAAAAAGATCAGAAACTAGAAATCGGTATATGTGGGGAAGAGCAAATTGAGACTATCAGTGGGAAAAAAAAGAATGTGGGGAGGGTAATGAATTTTTCGGAGCCTTACAGTACTGCATTGAAGGCCTGAGGGTACAAAAGGTTAACAGCTTGGCTGCTGAGGTTGGAGTCCACCCAGTTAGGCCTCAGGAGAAAGGCCGGGCAGTCTGCATCTGGAAAATCAGCCATTGAAAACTCTATGGAGTGCAGGTCTAGTCTCACACACATGTGGTTGCCGTGAGTCGGAATCAACTCAACAGAAACTGGGTCATAATGAGGCATCAATGTGAGTTGCTTGGCTGGGACTTGGCAAATAAAATCTAGTTTACCAGTTACAAAATAAAAGATCCATTCTCAAAGGAGGGCTTCCAAGTCTATGATCCCATTAACACCTGGATTCTAGCAAGGAGTAGGTGGGTGGTCCTGACCCTGGCGTGCTGACTACCAGCCTCCTGCTTCTGGGCTTATTTCTGAGCTGCGGGGAACCTCCGCTTTCAGGACTCCCTAGCTGGGTACGCTCCGCCCACTCACTGCCTGGGCCTGCCACAAGGGGGCAGGTGTGGGTTCATGCCCTGTGGTCTCAGACTGTGCCCAGGTGGGGGTGAGAACTCAGGCCTGTGGTTAACACAAGACTCGCCCCCTTCTCCATTCACTTCAGAGGATCACGGTATGGACAGGAGATTGTTACATGAATTCATTTGCTTTGGTTCAGTTACAGGAATAAACTCCCACAGATCAAGAGCAGAGGACTGTGCCTTAAGTGGTGAGCCTCTCGTTCCTGCTCATCTCCTTGGTGCTTTAATTAAGTGGAACCTGACTGAGCTGGAACATAGGCTTGTTGGGATAGTCAGCTCTACTGCCATAAAGGCCATAGGAAGGTAAGATACCAGGAATGTTTCATTTAATTTTTAATGCTTCCATAATTTTATTTTAAGCTAAAGGCACTTTTCTTACAACTAAAAATGTATAGGCTAATTAAGAAGAATCTGTGTTTCTTTTTCATCTCCAGAGTTGCATACAAAAAAATAAAACCCACTGCCATTGACTCAATTCTGATGCATAGTGGCCTTCTAGGACAGGGTAGAACTGCCCCATAGGGTTTTTAAGGCTGTAACTCACCTTTGAAAGTTTTTTTTTTGTGATTTGAGTGCAAATTTACAAAGCAAATTCATTTTACCCATAACAGTTCATGCACATTTGGTTTCACGGTCCTGATAACAATCCCAACAATAAAAAGCTCTCCTCCCTGTGACTACCCCTTCCATGTGTCCTAATCCATGCATTCCTGTCTATCCAACTTTCCTTCTATGTAAATGCTGCCTTTCTGATGTCTCTTGGTTGATTGATCTAATGGAAGCGTCTCCCTATGGTAGGTGGGTATGGCCCCCTGGGGTAGGTGTTCTGCTTGCAGGCCTTTCTAGTCTTGGACTGAGAGCTAATACACAGAAGTGAGTCCACTTCCAGGCCTGAAGGATAAGCCAGGGCCATAGTCTTGGGGGTTCCACCAACCTCTATCCGACCAGTAATTTTGGTCATTTTTGTGTTTTTGCATTTTATTCCATATTTTTCCCCCCACTCTATCCAGGATCTCCAATTTTGATCCTTTTCTAAGTGGTTGGCTTTGGTAGCCGGGCACCATCTGGTCCTTCTGGTCTTAGGGTCATGAAGACTGAGGTCACCGTGGTCCTTGGACAATTATATATAATTGTTTCCATATGACTTTGATTTTCATCACTGTTCTTTGGGCCAGACGAGGGGAGACCAATAATTGCATCTAAGTTGGCCACTCAGGAATGTTTCTTACTTTTCTAAGCCTTATTTTCCCTATCTGTCAAATGGGCCTTATAGAATAGGCCTGTCACCAACATGATGCAATTTCTGGGGAATGAGAAGTGTTCCTCATTTCCCAAATTTCTTTCTGTCTCTGTTCTTTGATACTTAAAATATGTGTAACTGGTAATGAAATCTTTGTAGCTGTTGCCTTACATTCACATGAGGATAAAAATAT